CCCCCAAAACCCCAAAACCCCAAAACCCCAAATTTCCCTTTCCTCCATTTCGTTAATAATAAACTGACAAAATGGCTACCATGGCTACAATCGTGCACTCAAAAAGTTTCGAGAGGTATAATAAGGCTAAACTGCGCAGAATAAAGCTGGAAAATGACAAACAAATAAGGAGAAGTGCAGTCAAATAGCCCTTTTAGAAACACTATTAGGGAATTTGATAAGGTAGTTATAGAAGAGAAGCACTTTTGGGGTTTATAAGGTCTAATATGGTCCAGAGTCCCTTCTTTAGTTGATTTTCCGTATTTTGTAGCCTTAGAGACTGGATAGGAGGGATTTGGGATATACTAAAGCATTGAGTTTCAAATTTATTTTAGGAAGAATCTGAGCAAATAAAATAATTCAGTGGTAATCACTAAGTATCACAATCCATACCAGGATTATGTTAATAAAGGTATTTTCCCATAGTTATACTAAGTAGGAAGAACTCATCGAAGTCCTATCACCCTCAGTCGATATACTCCTTTCAAACAAGAAGATAAGCTAAAAGAGCAGGAGATTATCAGCCAAAATCTTAAAGCTAGTGATAGCCAGGAAATTATTAATCAGCTGAGGGAAATCAACAGTTCGGAAGACCTTCACCAGGCAAGGTATATCTCAGAGTAATATTTCAGCCAAGTAAAAGAGATTATGAGACAAGAGACCAAATAAAATTGTTTCTGAAATGAGAATTCAAGGAGAAATCAGTGATATCTTCAATAAGCCAATAAAGGGCAAGAAGTCTCAGATAATTAGAACTGGGCATAGAAATCTTACCTTTAAAAGATGGCTCAGGAGTAAAAAGAAGAAGCTTGTTAAGAATCATAAACATTTGATCAAGTCTATTTCAGCTTCTAAGCTTACTGTTGGTACTAAGTCTGGATTAATTTTATAGCAAAAATCAAAGAGTATTTGAATGAACATAGAATCGAGTCAGACAAGATTCACTCATTCAAGTATGACAGTTTAATATTGGAATAGTATGGTTAAGTTGAACGAGAACCTCTAAAAGCAATTGATTGTGCTGTCTCTCAGAAATTCCATGAAACTAAGCAAAAAGCGAGGTAAACGCTACTTTTAAAATGTTGTAGTCGGAACATAACAGTTTCTCTATGCCAAATGGATCAATTCATCAAGACCCAACAAAAATAAACAATTCGACGGTCTGAGATTAATAGACAACAAGGCAATCCTCAGAAAGGTATTCCGCCCCAAAAACATTCTCAAAACCACCGATCATGAGTACCCTCTTATCTCACTCTCTAGAGTCCTCTCTATAAACTCAAACGATAGCAGTGACTCCAACTCTGCCTTTAGAGAGGAGCTTAAGCATAGTATTCCAAAAATCACTGATATTCTGTACTCAAAATCTAAAACCCAAAGAGCTTATTCCCTTCAGAGAAGGAGCAAGTTCCTTCAATCTTCTTCAAGAAAGACCAAAAAGGTTAAGCCTAAGAATAAGCATCTGCAGAAGGTCTTCACTAAGATCTCTCTTCTCAGGATTGAGGATTTACCAGAGGTCCCCTCTGGTCAGTCTCAAGGAGAATAGTAGTAGTAAAAGCTTCAGTGCTAGTAGTAAAGGCTAAGAACAGTTTGGTTTAGAGAAGGAGGATAGAATGAATTGAAAATTTCTGGGCTGAATACTTGCTCTATCACCTTATCCCTTCCTCTAGATCCTACCAGCATCACTACAGTAAAATTCAAGAATTTATAGCTAAAGCTGCTAGACTGCATCATAGACATTTTTTGAAATTTATCTGGCCTCTTGAGCCTGGGATTTTGTACGTGACAGTGAGGCTTTCAATAGGGAATTGGATAGGAGGGGTTTTGGGGTTTTGGGGTTTTGGGGTTTTGGGG